AAATATAACTATAGTTAGAACCAGTGGATCAAAAATATTAGCACCAAATTAAAAATACAGGGCTTCAAAAACAGAGAAACAGGGCCTCCCCGGTGGCGCAGTGGTTGAGTGCTGGATTGCAAAGCTGCCCGCAGCCTCTGCAGCACCGCTTCAATCCCTGGCCACCAGCTGAGTGTCCCACATGGCGCACAGACCTCTTCTGCCGCCCGCTGCTCCCCTCAGCAGTATACTTCATCAGTCTGCCTGTTCCGCTCTCCGATCTGACTCTGGTGAATTTTCTTGCCCTCCCGCGCTTCTGACTGTACCCAGTGCTTGTATAAATAAATAAATAAATAAATAAATAAATAAATAAATCTTTAAAAAAAAAAACAAAAACAGAGAAACATAAGTAATGGAGAAAATGAATGAACTCAAAAAGCACAAGTCAGAGAAAATAAAAGAACTAGTGAAAAAAATTTAAATGAAAATAGTGTAGGAACCCTTTGGGATTACTTAAAGAGAAATAATATCCATACAATGGGAGTCCCAGAAAGAAAAGAGAAAGACTAAGTTGTAGAAAATTTATTTAAAGAAATAATTGCTTAGAAGATTCTTAGCTGCCGGAGACCAGCTTTCAGCAAAAAGTCGTGTCAGGAGTCCCTGAAAGGAGGAGACGGCCTAGGTGAAGCAAAAGGGGCTGAGGGAAAGGGAATGAGGCAGTGAGGAGACACTGACACTGGATGAGGTGCAAGTATCTTCTGCCGAGAGACTCAGCAGGTCTTTATTTATTCATTTTTAGCAAGCAGAAAAATTACATCATCATATGCAAAGCAGAAACAATTAGTGTATTTTATTCCCATGGACTACTGGCTCCTACGGGTCTCAGCTAGACAGTAGCCTTCAAGGTTAATAGATAAAAAACCAAACCTAACACTAAAACTTATTATTTCAGCTAGACAATTACCTAAGACAGTGGATAGCCGCCAGTGCATCCCTATCAGCTAAAGCCTAAGCATCAAAAGACTCTTCTATTCATATGGCCTTCAGCCGGAGACCAGCTGCTTCTCAGCTATCAGAACTTTTTCTACCTAGAAACTTCTTAACACAGTTAACTTCATTTAAAAACTTTCCTAAAAAACTTCTTAAAAAAAAAGGAAAACTTCTAAAAAAGCAAAAGAAGGACTTACTATAATAGTTGTGCTGGATTTCTTGTCAGATATATACAATAAATTGTCTCCTATTGTCAAGTGGGCCAAATTGTTTAATAACTAATTTCTAAGCACATAATTTTCCGTGCCATTTACTTACAGTATGCTGCTACATATAATTTATTGCCTAATGTACTTTCTGAGATATTTTTCTCTTTTTATGACCAAGAACAAAAAATAAAAGGATGTTAGATCTTCAGCCCCAAGGTGTGAGGCTCTTTAGCTTCAGCCCCACGGTGTGAGGCCCTTTACCTTATCTGCTTGCCAGTGTCTTATGTAGCTGGGGGAGCAAGGCCCCCTGCAGCACTTAGTCTGGAAAACGGATGTTCCGATGAAACAAAATACACAAGACCAACACACATCCAGAAACATATCGAACCTGTTGGAAAACTAAGGAGAACAGAATACTAACAACACGAAGAGTAAAACCATGTAACCGATCAGACTGTCAGAGGATTTCAGCAGAAATATTACAGCCAAAAGGGAATAAGAGGTATTTTGCAAGTACTCAGAGATAAAGATTTCCAGCCTAGAATACTTTACCCTGCAAAATTAACATTCAAGACAGACAAGTAAGGATCTTCAGTGGGAAGAAAAAAAAGCTCAATTTATTAATACCACTTGCATATGAAAGAAGTGCAAAAGGGATGATAATAAAGAAACAAAACATCAAATACAGAAGTCCCGGATCCCTAAAGCACGTAACAGGAGGAAACGAGGGAAACACTGCGGCCCATCAGAACACACTAAAACCAGATAGACCAACGGGCCACACAAATATCCTCCATAAGCTAACCTCAGTAGGACCAAAATCAAAAATCAACAGAAGTAACATATAAGACAATGGAAGTGAAATCTAAAGAAAACATAAAAGAAAGAGGCCAACAAAAAAGACAAGACAAACCAAAAAAAAAAAAAAAAAAAAAAACCCCAAAAAATGAAAATAAACTGACAATAATCACTTAATCAAATAACCATCTTAAATAAGCAGCCAGAATTCACCATTTAAAAGGCACAAGTTGGGTCTCCTTTGGTGGCGCAGGTGGTTGAGCTCAGCACTGTGAAGCTGTCCACAGCCTCAGCAGCACGGGTTCCATCCCGGCCAGCCAGTGAGAATCCCACATGGCGAGCAGACCTCTCCTGTCTAGCCTGTTGCTCCCCTCAGCAGTGTATTTCAGTAGATCTGCCTGTTCTGCTCTCTGCTCTGTCTCTGGTGAATCCTCTCACCCTCCTGTGCATCTGGACTATACCCCAGTTCTTGTATGCATGAATGAATAAATCTAAATGTGGTAGGCGGCGCTACCCATGCTGTCTCTTGACAAGGTCTGGGCATTGGGGGAGACTCCCAAGAAGAGGGGAGTTCCTGCACTTCCTAGAAGATCTGAATAAGGGAGTCTCCATGGCAATGCCTGCTAATACTTCTCTGTTTGTTCTTGGTTAATGCAAAAGTAAGTTATTTATAAACTGGCTTGTGAAAACCTAGTTCAGACCTAGACGCTCATTGGTCTATTCTTCTTACGCTTGAATCATTACTAGAGAAAGTAAAAAATGCTAAAGGTATAGCCAGGAAAGAAATGTTTTGGCCCTGAGAACTATGGAGAACAAGCTGCCCTGAACCAGCTGTGCTTGGAAACGTAGCCTAACCCAGGGGTACGTGTTGCGGCAGCAGTACATTTCCTGGTGTGTGCAAATGGTCAATAGTTTGCAGCTGTGTGGAGGTTCGGTAAGAGCTAGACTTCAGTAGAGCTAACATAGATTTGATGAGTTGCTTTAGGCCACTTTGAAGTTATTGATAAATTAGCCAAGTTAATCGAGTGCTAAGGAGATAGGTTGATTTCAGTAATAGAATATAGAAAAGGATTTTCACGCCCATTCTGAAACTAGGAAAGTTTAATAGAATGATTAACTGTTACCAAATGTTGTGCTGTCTTAAATAATTGATTATGTTAGAAAATGAGCTGTACCTAGGAAACTAATTGTCCCTGATGTTTTTCGTAAAGTAACCAAAGAAATGCCCTTTTGATATGAGACCATATGTTCATGAGAAAATATGTAATGATTGTCTTTGTTCTGCTTGAATGCTTATGCTGATGTAATCTCACCTCTCGCCTTAAGGTATAAATAAAGACCCACTGAGACCCTCAGTAGGAGATACTTGCATCAATATAAGAGTGTCTGGGTCTGCCTCATCTCTACTTCCCCTCAGCCCCCCAAGATTTCGCCAACACAGTCCTCTCCTTTCTAGGACCCCTGACACAACATTCTGCTGAAGTGGGCTTCCAGCATCTAAAAATAAAATAAAATAAAAGGCACAAGTTGATTGAATGGATTTCGTAACAAACTACAACCTTTGACTGCTTACAGGAAACCATTTTACCAACAATGTTAAGCACAAACTTAAAGGCAAGAAGACAAGTCTACACACAAATGATAATCATGAAATATCAGGAACTACAGTCAGATCAAGAACAATAGCCTTGGGTCTCCCCTGGTGGTGCAGGCAGTTGAGTCCAGCGCTGTGAAGCTGTCTGCAGCCTCTGCAGCATGGGTTCCATCCCAGCCAGCCAGCAAGAATCCCACATGGCCAGCAGACCTCTCATGTCTCACCCGCTGCTCCCCTCAGCAGTGTATTTCATCAGTCTGCCTGTTCTGTTCCCTGCTCTGCCTCTGGTGAATCTTCTCACCCTCTTGTGCATCTGGCCCGTACCCTGGTTCTTGTGTAAATGAATAAATCTATCTTAAAAAAAAAAAACAAACAATAGCTCTAAATGAAGAGCTTGACTTAATAGGCTAAATGGACATCTACAGAACACTCCACCCCAAGAGAGCTGTGTGCACATCTTTTTTTTCAAGTGCATTTTGATACATTTTCAATAATAGACCAAAACAGGGACACAAATCAAGGTTCACAAAATGACAAAGTTGGGATTTGGACCTGGTACTCTTTTGGACCATAGGACCATAAAGCTAGAAATCAACCATTAAAAAGGAGAAACTATAAATACTCAGAGACTAAGCGATATGCTGCTTAGTAGCTAGTGGATAAAAGCAGAACTAAAAAAGAAATCACAAATTCCTTGAGAGTAATGAAAATGACAAATGAGCTATTAGAAACTAAAGGATGCAACAAAAACTGCTTGAAGAGGGAGGATAATTGCAATATAGACCCACATTAATAAGAAGAAAAATCCCAAATTCAAACTTTAAAGTAACACTGAAAGCATCTTCAAAAAATGAATAAGCAAGACACAAAATTACTAGAAAGAAGGAAATTGTAATAATAATAGCAGACATAAACTAAATAGAGATCAAAAAGACTATACAAAAATCAACAAAACCAGGAATTAGTTCTTTTAGAGATAAACAAAATAGGAAAAACCTCTAGCTGGTATAAAAAGAAGACGTGAAAAAACATTAATAGGCAAAATGGAAGAGGAGAAATTACCACAGATAGCACAGAAATACAAAGGATTATAAGAGATCACTATTAACAAGTATATGCCAAAAAATTGATAGCCTTTCCGGATCAATAGATCTTAGACACCTTTCTAGATCAATATAGTTTACCAAGATTTAATCAGGAATAAACAGATGAGTCAAATAAACTAATCACAAGCATGGAAATTGAAACCAAATTTTTAAAAAAGTTCCCCAAATCAAAAGTCCCAGGTCAGACAGCATTGCTGATAGTTTGGGAGTTCCCTTGTATATAAAAAGTCATTTTTGTTCTTTTGCTTATTATTTTTTATTGTCTTATCTTTGACAATTTCACTATATTGTGTCTTGGTATGGGACTCTTTGGAAATCTCTCACCTTCCTGGTACTAGATGTCTTAATATTTTCCCAGGTCAGGAGGTTTTCTTTCTACCCCTCTCTCTTCCTCTCTTCTTCTGAGACCCCTATAATGTGAATCTTGTCCACATGATGGAGTTTCATGAGTCCCTTAATTTAGCTTTCATCTTTTAAAATTTTCTTTTCTTTTTGCTGGGTACACTATAGTTTATTGATCATACATGACAAGGCAGAGTGCCCCAAGTCCTTTCCATTCTCCGGGGGGTCTGGGATGGAGCAGTGATGAGTCAGGAGATTCTTGGTGTGTTGGGTGAGTGGGGGAAGGACTCCTCAGCAGCTGAGGGCCTCTCTCTTCCTCTTGTGCTGTAGCTGTAGCTGATGGTCCAGGAGGCTCTTATTCCTTGGAGGCCATGTGGACCAGGAGGTCCACCACCCTGGTGCTATGGACAAATTCATTGTAATACTGATACAGGGCAGCAATGGGCACTAAAACTAGACATGGACACTGCCCAAATAGTTTACCGGTCACTGTCTGAATTCTTCACCTGCTTGCATGCAAGACTATTCAGGCTCAGGGAACAAAGCAATTAGATTGATATAACAAACCAGGGGAAAACAAAGAGTTACTGAGGCCAAAAATGGTCATTTACCTCACCTGAAGCCATATCCAGTGTTTTTCGGCCCTAAACAAAAAGCAGCTAAGATAGCATCTTCCCTTGACTGAGTACTCGGAGCTCCTATACCAAACAATTGGCCATTTGCCCAAGATGGACTCTTCCAGCCTCTGCCAATCTGGAGCACTTGGAAGCCAGACTCTAGGCCAGCTTCCAACTCACTAAGACAACAGAAGACATGACAGGAAATGCTCCTGGAGCTGCTGTGATGCCCCAGCACAGCACCAGACAAGCAACAGTCAAAGCAGCAGCTGCAGTGGCTGAAGGACCCTACAAACAACCACACTCACAGCTCAGTGAAGCGCCCAGCTCTGGGTCTTCGCCTTCTTTACCAGACTGTAACAGCAGCAAAACTGGGAACATTTTCAGGGGCTTAACTCCTTGAAAAGTGTATGAACTTTTCCTCTTGAGGTTGGCTGCTGGAAGTCCCCATCTTCAGAGGCCCACAACAGCCTTCTGGAAGATTGATGCAGTGGGGGCAGTAATCTACTGACCCCAAATGCTGAATCTGGAAGACTGAATGAATCTGGAAGACTGAATGAATCTGCGCCCCCTTCTGCAGTCCCTTATGTTTCTTATCAGTTTCCCCACCCCATAATCTAATGCTTTTTAGCATTTTCCCTGGGGCTATCTAGCCTCACAAGCAAGCCCCTCCAGGGGGCACCCACCTATAATAGTCTATGGCTTCAGCACCAGTTATAATACCAGGAAATAAGCTTGACAAAATGGCCATTGAGGGCAACACCAGCCCCAGCATCAAAGGTGGAGGAGTGGGTGACACTGTTAACGATGTTTGGACGACCTGGTCCTCAGTGTAGCCCAGGATACCCTTGAGGGGGCCCTGAGATACCTGCTTCAACACCTTCCTGATATCATCATATATGGCAGATTTCTCCAGCTGGAGGTCAGATCCACAACCAACATGTTGGAGGTGGGCACACAGAAGGTCCTGCCAGTCAGGTCCCTGTTCTGCTCAGGAATGGCTTTGCCCACAGTCTTTATGGCACCAGTACAATTGGGGATGATGTTCTGGGGCATTTAGCCATCACATCACAGCTTCCCAGAAGGACAATCCACAGTCTTATGGGTGGCAGAGGTGTCGTGGATCATGGTCATGAGTCCCTCCAAGATACTAAAGTTGTGGGTGACCCTGGTTGGGGGGACAAGCAGCTGGTGGTGCAGATGGCATTGCTGACAATGTTGAGGGAGGTGCTGTAGAGAATTCTCATGGTTCCCGCCCATCACAAACATGGGGGCATCAGCAAAAGGGACAGAGATGATGATCCTTTTGGCCCCAACCTTTAGGTGAGCCCGGCCTTCTCCAGGTGTTGTACAACCATCCCAAGCCAGGCAGATTTGCTGCTGATTTGGGCAAACAGAAAAAGAATCAGCAAGTGACCCTATTTTCCTTGGATTGTATCCTTGGATGTAAAATAGATGCTTTCATGTTGATCATCACATCAGATATTTTTTAGGACCTCCCTGGTGGCGCAAGGGGTTAAGACTCAACCTATGAAGCTATCTGCAGCCACTGCAGCACGTGTTCGATCCCTGGTCCGGGAGCTACCCACATGGCACAGCAGACCTCTCCTGACTCGCCTGTTGCTCCCCTCAGCAGTGTATTTCAGTCTGCCTGTTCTGCTCCCCACTCTGTCTCTAGTGAATCCTCTCACCCCACACACCTGTGGCCTGTACCCCAGTTCTTGTATGCATAAATAAATGAAATCTTTACAAAAAAGATATTTTTTAAATGTGGAATGAGAATGATGATTTAGAGAAGATAATATTCAGTGGTTCAACCAAGGCATTTTAAAATGAAACTGGAGTTGGCTTTGCCTTTTTTGTAGTTAAGTGGTGAAAAATAACTACTAGTTCAGTTGGAACCACAACCTCCATTGTTACTAAGCTTTACCTGAGTGCAAATGTCAATATAGTAAAAAGGCAAATGATGTCTAAGTAATCTGTAAAAACAGTTTTGATCTCATGAATCCATGAAAAGGGATCTCATTGATGTCCTATAGACCATACTTTGAGAACTGCTGTTCTGAAAAAAACAGGGAGAATCTCCAACTGGCCCAACTTGGTCTCCTCTGCATTTCTGAGAATCTCCCTCTGACCTGGGCTCTGCCTCCCAAGAGTTTGCTTAGAGCTTTGTCCCTGGGCTCCTCTAGAAAATAACTCACCCCCTGAAAATTTGATCCCAGGAGAGTCCTCAGTGTAGGGAGGGGGTGGAGGGACATGGATTCCCTTCAGGAACTGGGAACCACTTGTGGGGGGATGGGGAGGGCTGATGGGTGGGAAGGTGGGGAAGTAAGGGGGTGGCTGGGGGGTGTTTGGGGGAGCCTCAGTATGACTGGGTTTGGAAGAACACAGTCCCTGGGTGAATGACTGTGGAAGTGGGGTTCACTCTAGATTGGGCTTTATCTGCAATTTGGGAGAGTGAATGATCGCGCATCTCAATGAATCTTTTTAAAAAAAAAAAAGATTTATTTATACAAGCACTGGGTACAGTCAGAAGTGCGGGAGGGCAAGAGAATTCACCAGAGTCAGAGCAGAGAGCAGAACAGGCAGATTGACGAAACACACCGCTGAGGGGAGCAGCGGGAGACAGGAGAGGTCTGCGTGCCATGTGGGACCCTCCCCTGAAGGCCAGGGATCAAACCGGCGCTGCAGAGGCTGCGGGCAGCTTCGCGCCACCGGGGAGGCCCAATGAGGGACACGTGGAGTGAAGGTAAGGCTACGTTTGTAGAGAAACAGCATCACTCAATTTATGTAGCAGGGCGGGTGTTTCCTACTTGCGACATGGACAGTGCTGCGTGTTTCTTATGTTACACAAAACGGTGTCGTGGTCTTGCGTGTCTCACTGTGTGGTGACCTCTGAGCGTCCTTCTCTGCTGGTCTGTGGAGGACTCCTGTCCTGGGGGAGGCACAGGGCAGGGCCTCGGGGCATGGCGGCTCCTGACAGACCCGGGACCAGCTCAGTGTCAGACCACGTCTGGGTGGTGGGGCAGCTCTAACTGCTTTCTTAAATTCAACATTTTAAAAGAAGCATATCCCAATAAAAAAAATTTAAATGATATTGAAAACAATTTTAAAAAAATCAATGAAAATGTCAAACATGTTAATAGTGAATATAAATGAATGTGAGAATGTGGGAGAGGGGAATAAAATGACAAACTGTTCCCTTGATAATGAAGAACGTTATTGACAGGAGAATCCACTAGGGGGCAGCAAAAACATGCTGGCATAAGGACTGATGGGATTAAAAAGGTCAGCTTTGCAAAATGTCTCGGCAATTTAAATGTTTTGATATTTTGTAAAAATAATCCATCTTTTTTAATTTATCATCAGATAATCTTATCCAAAAATATATGTTCAAGGGTGTTTCTTAAATTGAAACTTACAAAGCAAAAGAGTGGAGCTTATTAAAATGCCATGGTCACTGCAGTGTTGGTAACTGACAGTGGGACACAGCACCTCAGGGAATAATCCCACGCACTTTACACACCGGTCACACTTCCTCTTCAAAGCAAACCCATGAGAAACCCAGATGTGTCCCTTTGTGCAAATGAGAAGAGGCTGTCAGAGAGGCAGAGGAGGTGGAGCTGGGGTCCCACCTGGGGGTCTCCTGAGTTTATTGGCTCCTCCTCCATTGGTTCCTGTGCACCAGGCAGGCAGGGTGACTCCACACCCCCTGCTGTGAACGGCTTCACAGTTCAGAATGTTCTATGACAGGAGGCCACGAGGACACAGCTCAGGGGGACATGGAAGGACCGTGAGACTAACCTGCCCATTACCTGGGGTATCTTTTCAGACCCCCAGTACATCAGGGCTCCTCTAGACACTGCAGACATGATGAGCAGAGCCAGACCCTGGTGATGTGACACCGTCACTGTAAGAGAGGGACATCTAGCAGAAATGACAAAGGTAAATGTTAAGCACGATGGAGCTAGTGCTCTGAGATCAGAGTTCATGATCTCATGAAAGCAGGAAGCAGGGGACCTACCAGACCCTCTACCACTTTTGTCAATAATAGCTAAGAGGTGAAAATTATATGGGACATAAATCATAAATGGGATTATCTGCAGTTACGTAGAAAGACAGAACAAGAAAGTTTTACAAATTAAAAATATCAGAGATATGATGAATTCAATAGATGAATTGAAAGATTTAAGCCACACCCTGCTCAGGAGTACAGATAGGAGAGTGAGGGAGAGAGAGGGAAGAGCTGTAGGATATTTTTCTATCAGTCAATGTTCCAAAATGTTATTAAAATTATTTTTAAAATGCAGCACAGGACATGATTTACATATTTCAAAAAATGTCTCAGTATTTACAGATAAAATTTTACATTTTCACTGCCCTAACCAAAT